GGTGTCGACAGGGACAAACGCCTTAGTGTCCGCCTGTAAATCGGGTTTGAGACTTGTTGAAACGGCGCTCCTGGATGTGGTGGTGGTGGAAAAAGCTCCGTGCTTCAGGTTCGCTGTTTACATTAATAGTTACATTAACATTTTTTTAAATCGTATGATCGCATGTTGTCGCTCCTGCTGGGACAGCGGCAAAATTTAGATCTTATCTTATTGAAGAGCCGATAAAAATCAGTTTGAACCTCTTCCCTTCTTTGACTTCGTTTCTTCTTTTATTTTGGATTTCATCGTCTATACATCTCTCCCACCCACCATCCCCTCTCCTGCCCCAGTCGTCCATTTGTGGTGTATTTCATTAGCTCGGTTTAATCCGGTTACATCAACCTTTCCCGATGTTACGGCAAGATTATCATCCCCCTCTTCGCCTCTGATCTTCTAACCTCCGCGGGTTTCCTCGAGTCTCTCTCTGGTTCCCAATCCGGCTTTTATTGGCGATTTATTTAAAAAAAAAGAAGAAGAAGAAGAAGAAGAAGAAGAAGAAGCATCACGCACAGCGGCAGCGGAGGAGTCGGGGTGTTGCTGCTCCAGTTGTTTTTGGATCCGTTTCGGTGTCCAGATGTTGAGCGTTGACCTGTCACCTACTTACCCGTTCGAGCGCTTTTTAATAGCCTGGCCTGATTCCGAGCAGGCTCTTGGTGCCTTTTAGTGAGAAAAGGTCAAACCGAAGGAGTGCAGCTAGCGGTAAATTAAAAGGCTGGCTAATCTCTGACCTTCAGCTGATGTGTTCGGCGTAAAGCCATAAAGTATCACAGTAAACAGCAGGAAAGAAAAAGCAGAAACAAGACTTGGTTTGCTTTCCATTTGAACTTGGATTTCTCACTGACTTCATGTGTAGCTTTTACTCACAAACTGACTTTCAAAGTTCACACAGTAGGACTGGATTTTATTTATTTGGTTTTGGTGGCCCTTTTACTTTGTATAATGTATAACATTACTGGTTCTGTGGGTTTGGGGATGGTTTTGTCCCCTCCCCACTAAGTGTAACACAGTTTGGGGGGGGTGCTTGCAGTTACTCATAATGAAAAGATTTGTGTAACCTATAAAAAACTGGAAAAAAGGCAGTGCAGATAATTCAGTAAGGATTATATAAGGCGCTGTAGGAATTCTGTAATGATACTACATTTGATAGGGATACCTTAAGTATGATAAACACCCTGCAAGCTCCTGTGCATCTAGAATCTGTGTAGTAATATCACAGTGATACCACGGGGACACAGATACCACAAAGCTCAATAATGAACTCACAGCTGGATATTACAGCATGCTTTAGCTCTGTATGGGGTGCTGTATGTGTGTGTATGTAAGTTCCATATTTCTTCATTTCTGCTTGTTGACATTCACTGGTTTGCAGTGCGTGGTGAGTCGTAGGGCTGGGCCAAGAGGCAGCAGCGGCTTCTCAGCGCTCACATTGAAATCTGCCATGTTCTTATCCATTGTTGAACTATGAGAGGCTGAGAATTAGTTTCAGAAAAATGTGTAAAAGAAAAAAATTAAATCGGGATACTTTAAATTTATAGCTCATTAACATTTGGGAGTTGGCACTGTTATTATATTGTGTTTGGATAATGTTACAGAAAGTGTGAGGTTTTCACACTTTCTGTTTGTCTTAGCAACAGTAAAACTGAAAGGTGCCAAACACTAAATGAAAAGCAGTGACTTTAGTGACTTACGGCAGGGTTTTCCAGCACAGAGGAATGTGCTGCTAGAAACAGAAGAAAAAAAATCAGTAGTGTTGTAATAAAAGTCGTTAAACTTGAGTTTCATGTACCCAAGCGTAATCATCAGAAACAACAAGACAAATGCCCAGATTCATAATGTAACACACACTCACTGACTTTACTGTACAACGAACTGCCATGCTTATTGTCATTAAGCCTCTAAGGTGTCATTCTGAACCTGAAAACAAAATCCCGGCTTAAAGGAAACTCAGAACTCTCAACTTGACACCTGAGAAGCCTCCAGGCGTCAGCCTTGTTATAAGGAACGTTTGCCGGCATGAGAATTTGTACCTTTACGAGGCAGCCTTATTATTAACATATTGTTAACGGTGGCGGGGACATTTGGTTGAAGAAGGTCAGCCAAGAAAGATGGACACCTTACAGTTTATTACATTGCACTGCGACGTGCATGGATGCAACTTGTCGACACAACGAGCCTCATCTTTTTACCCTGTGCTGCACTGATAATAAATTAGGGCCTATATGCCACAGAAAGGTTAACATTATGAGTTGGGAGCAAATATAGCCCAACTGCTGATTCCTTTGACACATATTCTGGGGAAGGGAGTGTAGCTAATTTGATTGCTGAAAGGTTGTGCCAGTGCTGGAGAGAGACAGACTGTGTCGGAGATAGAGAGAGAGGTGTGAGTGTGAGTGGCAGATTGCTTTTCCCCCCCCTTAAATCTTCCAACATTTCTAAGCGCGGTACTGATGGCAGCAGAGCAGTTAGTCAGCATAGTTGGTAGTGGTGTACCGATTGTGCCGTTCTGAGCCATTACTGAGGTTCCAAATAACAATTTGGCCAGCACTATTTTTTTGTGGTCATTTTTGATGTAATGTTTTTTCTATATCCTCCTTTCTAATCTACCGATATTGATAATTGATTGCTTTCTTAATTGCTCATACTGATATCAGTCATCAGGGCCAATATTTGTGCATCACTAATATCTAGTTTTCAAACAGTGGCCATTAAAGTAAAAAAAGAATGAGTGATTTCAAACAGGCTTACAGATATACTGTATAAGGAGCACACTTCAGTGAGAGAGTTTGCCTCCTAATATGAACTTTATCAATGCAAAATGTAAGAAAAACTCAAAAAGAGTAAGAGACAACCCAAGGGTGATGTCTGAGTAACCTTTATTTAACCAAGTAAAACCCAATCAAGAGAGGATTGCAGTATAAAACACAAGGCAATCCAAAAGAAACAAGACCAAAAATATTGGTAAAGTATGGAGTAATGTTTGGCAATTTTAAACTCAAAACAGAAATATTGACAATATTAAGGAAACAAAAAGTGACAGTTCAGCTTTTCCTTTAGGTGAAACCATTGCTGGTTAACATTCTGTGGGTATCTCAGTAGTTCACAGGTCTTTTCCACCTTTAAGTGCTCATCTCTGTCACATGATTTGTAGTCCTTTGAGCTGAGTGTTTCTGGGTAATTTCCTTTTGTTTACTGCTGATTAATGAATGAGTTTGAGGCGAATCGTGCTGATTTTGCAAGAGGATTTGGCAGCATGTGCTATAAAGACAGCAAATGTCTCCTGCAATTACAGTTAAATTGTGATGGGCAAGTTTATCCATTTTGGTTTAGTGTGTCAATACATGAATAAATCCCAGTGATTTCTATTTATCTATCGTTCTATCACTCTATCTCTCTGCCTTTCCCTTGATTACCCACTGCGCTCCATCCTTGTCTTATCAAGTCAACAAAATCCCTCCATCCCTCAATCACGCCTCCTTCTTCGAGTGGACAGCTTTTATTTCAGTAATGGACAGATGGACGCCCCAAGAGATCTGCCTGCTACTTTCTCATCTTGCTAATTCTTTTCATGGGCTTCCTGAAAAGGAAAACAAAACATGGCACATTTATCCAGAGCTGTTGGGGGAGAGTGGCAGCGGTCCACACGTTTGACCGGACCGGATGCCAACACTGTAAATCTCTACATGCACTCTTCATTATACATGCGTGCGTGCACACACACACAAACACACACACACACACCCTCTGCTGCTGTAGTATATATGTGGAGCTGCCTTAGGGGCTGATCCATGCCAATCAGGAGTCCCGTGGGAGGAGGGCTGCTCTCTTTGGTGGGGGGTTACCATCGGTGGAAAAACAAAATGCTCCACTGGCGCTAAAGAGAGTGTCGACAGAAGGTGCGTATGTGCGTGAGAACCTTTATTTATCCAGAAAACGGTTCAGCGAGCGACGCGCTCTTTTTACAGCGGCGTCCTGCCTCTCGTTCATACATGCCGAACTACCTGAAAGATCCCAGCCACCATCCTTTCTCTTACACGCCTGCGTCTTTTATCCCAGTTTGAGTTTGTTTCCAAGCACCAAAAGTATTTCATCTTGTTGTTGCAGTCTGTTGGAAAGTATGGCAGCTTTCAAGGACAAATTCATTTCACTTCTCAAGAGAGGAGGATGGCAGGTGACTTCCTAAAAAAAAGCCATTTTGCATGGCTGTTGTTGTTGTTGTTATTCTGTTTTGGTTTTTTTTAGTCACTTCTTTGTTGTTTTCCTCCCCTGGGATCT